TTCATTGTCACTGCACTGGGCTTGGCAGCATGTGGTCATAAGATCGAATCCTCTTCGACTTAATTTTTCTATGCATTTGCGATGTCGTTGTTTTACATTTTACAAACACATGCTATAAGGAAATAAAAATTTATAAAATATGTATCACCGTACATCAACGTGTGACCTTACATTAAGTGGCACTGCTCTCGTATCAACTTCAAAAGTTCGTGCGTCGGCCATGTTGCTATTATCGATTGCACTGAATTAGAAACCTTGAGTGTGTGACAGCCTTCAATGGTATAAAAAAATCCATACCAAGTTTTGTCATAATTTTTCTAGCGGTTTTCGAGTTGAGTTATAAAAAATACGGATAAACAGACAAACATTTTGTGGACAACGTGCAATAACGCATAATAAATACGCGGTTACGACATAATATCAAAGGTTACACCCCCCATGCCATTATTGTTTCCTTCACATATCTTGTACTATCGAATTACTACAACCCACACCAACCGCTTAATTTAACCTTGGGAGTCAAAATCTGGTGATAAGATAAAGATAAATTTTACTTGAATTAAAATTAGCGCGTCCATCTGGAAACAAGCTGATAAAAAGAATAACCAATCAAAATACAAAATTGACGTTTCGGCAAGAAAGAGAAATTATTACATTTCTGTTAGCAGTAACTTCGACTTGTTTCGTAAGAAGCAGTGGGAAGCTCCCAGCATTCAACGCGGGCACTTCATTGGTACACTCAAAACACGATTTTAAAATTAGTCTAAAATATAAAGTCTAGTATAAGTAACAATATTTTAAATCAGAGAGAAGTGATTTATTGCCGCGTACGTAAACACACATACCAGAAGTTTCAAAAATAAAGCAAAACTTTAATAAAATATCATTTGATTTGATCTCACGGATACATCTGTGTCCAGTTAATGGTGATAGGGCTATTTCTCAATAATTACATTGAACTACGACATCAATAAATCCAAACACAAAAAACCAGTTGGCTGTGACGTAATTTACGACGTCGAACACTTCACTGTTCGTATTTCGCTATTACTCCGCCCGGCTCTACGTGAGTCAAGGATAAATAATTGGCGTCGAGTTGGAATAATCGCGCCTTCCTTTCGCCAGACTGAGCTGCAGCCGAGGCACAAAACCGCATAAGTAGCCTGTTACAAATGGCGTCTAGTTCGTACTTAGGACGAAGCCAGTTGAAAATTCTTCGATGCTGTAACGACTTCAACAATATCTCCGCGTCCGTTCTCTTGTCGTTGTGGACTGCAAAGAGTGAATATTCTAGAAGTTATTTTTATTTTACGTAAAGTGTACATCGGGTAAATAAACAACCACAAGCAAAAAGCGTAGCGGTGAAGTCGCCTGATGTCCGAGCTTTCATTTCGTCTCACGTGGTTTTGATGTCGTATGGTGGCGCAGTCTGTTGATCGTAAGTGAAAGTTTGTCGAAATGTGAATCACTGCAGAGCAAATTTGTATTGCATCTGTTTGCTGTTGTCGTGGTTATCAGAGGATAGTTTCCGAAGTTTAATCACTGCTACAACTTCACACACATTTCCAGCTAATTATTGGCTACGTAGATCCAGGTCCTTTATGTAAACACTTTCCTGTCGACTGTTTCTGAAGTAGGTTAAACATGTCGTCCGTCAACCAGGGCTGTTTTAATGTTGTCAGCTGAGTGAATTGTTTTGATTACCCCTAGATCAGGGGTTCTCAACTTTCTCCACTAATTCTAATTTTACATATTAAATGTACCACAAACCAATTGAGTTCGGATAAAACTTAATGCCTGTCCCCAAGTGGCGTAACCAACATTTCGAGGTCGAATTCGATATACGCGCATGCGCAAGATTTCGCGGTGAGTGCAAGGTACGTGCAAAATAAGACTGAAGTGGTGAATAGTTTAATAGATACTCAAACACATAAACGATGCCGTACATGCTGCTAAAGAGCGCAGATGGAAGAGGAAGAGTGGGCTAAGGAACCTGTGGTGTTGACAGTCAAAGGAGTTACAGGTAAGAAGATACAGAATTATGTTTTCTTGGCGCACAAAGCCACAGTAACAGAGTTTGCTGACAGCCAATTCAATAATTTAATACATCCAGCCTTTTTTATTAAAATAGAACATGGTAATTATTTCTTTTTCATTATTTCAGATTTTTAACCTGTGCGTTATGCCACTATTACCCGCAGGTCTTCGATTACAAATTGTGTCCTAGAACACTCAGTTATTATAACAGTGTAGTATGAACACTGTCATCTATTGACTGAAAATATTCAGAAGACAAATCATTTGATGAAATATGCGTAATTGGTAGTTATTACTCTTAATTACAAGTTACTCTTTATTATCTAAATAAATGGGCTGTGTGATATATAAACACTGCAAATGGCGTACTTCTTCTACCAAAGGAAAAACAAATGCAATAAATACGGATAATATAACTTATAGCCCATGATTAATACAGTTTGTTAGCATAAATTTACCGTTGGGAAGTTCCATGTAAAATTTATGTAGGTTAGGTTTATTCTAGAAGATACGCGAGTGAAATTCACAGTCGTCACTTTTTTGTAACAGTTCATTTGTTCTCCGGCAAGGCGCTGTTGTCTGAACGTGATACTACGAAACTTCATATCAACAATAGTACCTGAATTTAAGTATATTATTAAACACGATATATTATTGCAAGACACTGCAACTTTAAATGACTTATGTGTCCCTTATCAGTTCTTTAGACCTAATTAAAGTCTGGGGGAAACTCCTGGAATATTTCGTTCTTATGCCATAAGGTCATTGTCAGTGCAGCCAACTGACGCGCGTGTCTGTGTCCGAACATGACAAACGAGTGCCTCTAATTAAAACCGTGTAATCGAATGTACGGGCGAAAAATACTGAAACGTCTAATTGATGGCCACGGTTAATCATCAGGATTTGTCGTAAAATATATTTATAATTAGAAAATTTATGTATTTCTGGCCGACGCCCAGTGGTATGAATTCTCTGTTTTATGGCTTAATATTTGGCTGTCAGGAACAGTAGGTCTCACAGAATAAATTACACAAGTAACGTGAGATATATAATATTAAAAAGGAATCATTAGAAAAATGTTTAATTTCATTATCATCTAATTGTATTCTTTACCTTGCATGCTGTTGGTCGTAAAAGATTGACACGAAAAATATTGTTTGTTTCTACAAGGGGATTACAGGTAAAGTTTCAGAACTACTAAAACGCTTTCTGACTTCGATTCTTAGTGAATATTTCTTTATATACACTGAAAAATAATTGCAAATCATTTTCTTTGATGTTGAATGAAAGATGATAAAACGACATTCTGTTACGAAAATTGTTCTTGTCTGAAAGTTTATTGTCCCGGAATTATGAGATATCACAAAAGCAAAGGTTAATCGTTTGACGAAGATTATAAGAGTAGCCACAGTTTTATCGGAATATATAAAAAAGGCAAAACTTATTTATTTCCAGGTTAAAATTAACATAATACAATCCACGCTTTTGAGTTAAAAAGTTTTCATTTTCCGTTAAACTGTTTCACTAAACAATCAACAGAGGTCAAGGTAAACATTTAACAAATATGGGCGTTGACTTAAGAGAGAATTTTTTTTTTCAGATATATATATATGGGACGCTGAACATTTGTCGTGCAAAATTGCTTATATATATTGGCGCCCACTAAAAAAATATATAATTTATATATGAGTCATGTGTTAGATTAAGAAAAAAAAA